ACACACCCTTACCCAAACAGACATGACATACACATCTCCTGGTGAACAGGTAAGTCTTTTGACAATGCCCTTTGCCTTAGTTTTAAATATGCCTGTTGATAGAGAACTTGACCTTTGACCTGCTTTCRCGTTTCTGAGCTCTGACGAGATACCTTTTCACAATGCTTTACTTTTTCAAGGCCCGTGCTGCTTTATTTTTACAAGGCCTGAGGCCTATATCGGGTAAAGGCCCTTTTAATTGGATGACTCACCATTTATTGATTGATTGATTGATTGATTGATTGTTGATTGATTGATTGATTCATTCATTCATTCATTCATTCATTCATTAGCTACACCTGTACTCTGTTATCATTAAATCAAAAGTTGCAAAAAAAAAATCTTTTATCGTACTTGCATAGTAATGTTATGACCCTGGCCAATTTCGAGATACACATCCACCGGAAAGTACAATGCCATCCAATTGCAGAAAGAAATGAATGAACTTGAGAGGAGAGAGAGAAGATTAGAAGAAGAAGTAAGAAAGAAGATGTACACCAGCGAAGATAATGACAAGGCTCTTCTTCTTCGCCCAACAATCCCCTCCTCCTTATCTCCCCCTTCTCTTATTCATACAAGTAATACAATGTTGAATGACTGACCCAGAATCAATGTCCGAGTCCCTCTTCTACTGCAGGTATCACTTAAGGTCCACCATAGCAATGGCCGCCTCTCCCACTCTTCACTCTCATAGGCCAAGGCTATGGCGGACTACTGGGCTCTGCTCCGATGCCCAAAGGACAACCCAAAGCAGCTATGGCTGCTCTAGCTCAGGCCGCCATGCCTGACCCTGCCCCGAAGCTTCTTGGTGTAGCTCTCCACAGCTGGGGACTCCCTGCTGCAGTGCCCACCAAGGTGATGAAGATGGCTGCCACCATAGCCAGGTAAGTACCCCTGGCGCTCCTCCCCCTTCCTTCCTTCTTCCTCCCTCGTGTCCTTCTCCTTCCTCCCCAGCAGCGCTACTCCAGCTTAGCGCTCCTCCAGCCAGCGCTCCACCAGTGCGTCAAACTTGCACACCGAAAAAGAGGCCGGACTCCCCGCCCGGCCAGAAGATATAGCGGCCTGCTTTGCCTCTTGGGCGGTAACTTCCAGGCCGCTCGGCCAAGCAACCGGTACCTCCTCCCTTTCGGAGGGAAACATCATTGCAGACTCTGATATTGCCCATACAGGCCCTAGACCCAGACTGGTTGGACTGATATCCGCCTAGACCTAACCTACAACTACTGGGCCTCTAAAAATGCCACTTTTGTCTTCTTCTGCTCGGCCTCCGGTACCTGCACATCTACCCCTTCCAGGTGCGGTACCGGCCTACCCGCTACTTGAGTGTTTTTCCCCGCTGCAACCCCTCAATGTCACGGCCACAGGTAAGTACCGGCCCTGAGGGCCCAACGAATGAGCAAGAGCCCTGACGGCCACACACATACTCATGCCAACCAGCACTCAGACAGGCACGGTCACACACACACCCACGCCAACCAACACTCAGACAGGCATGGTCACACACACTCGAGCCATCCAGCACTCAGACAGACACGCAGTCCAGCAAGCGTGCACACACAGACTTAGTAGCAAGCGGGAAACTTAGCAGGGCATTCAGTCTACGGGCAAAACTCAGAAATCATTTGTGTTTCAGTCCATGTATGGACGGGTCATGACACTACTCCCCCCTCAAGAGCGAGGTCCCTTCGAGCTAGTAACTCATTCTGAGTCCTCGACAAACGCATCGTAAGCGAGCAAGGCAAAGAGGTTCCTAGAGTACTCTGTTGCAGTGAGCCTTGCAGAGATCTTAGGTACAGTGTTAGTGGCGATTTGTCGCTCGTATGCTTTGACAACACGTGGTGCACTGCGTAGCAGTTCCTGTTTGGAGATCCAGTGCAGATTGTCTAATGGGTGATACATGAAGTGAACCTGGTACTGTCTGTTGCGTACCTTCCCTACGTGCTGTTTGATCCTGTCTATCTCATGCCAGCCTTTGATCGCACGAGGGATCATGTCCTCGCGATAGTCGAATGTTTTAGCATCACGGTAGAGGTACAGTTTTGATGCATGGAACACGGGGTATGTGCGCAGATGGGCTGGCACATCAACGACGTACGAAGGGCCAAAGTGATCTTCACCAATCACATCCAAAACTTCCCAGGGCCCATAATAGAGAGGGGGAAGTTTGCGTGAGACTCCCTCTTCTTCTGAGAATTCAAACATCTTGACCCAAACATAGCTTCCTACCTGAACTTCCGACGATCGGCGCTTCTTGTTTGCATGATGGATCATGGCGTGCTGTCGCTTGGTCATAGCTGCAATGGCAACTTTGAGCTAGCGATCATACTTGGCCCTGAAGCCAGGTCTGATGGTTGTCAAACCAGCTGGCTGCTCAGGGAATAGGTAAGAGAGCGGATTCCGGATCTGCCAACCGTAATGCAGCCTGTTGGGTGTCATGCCGGTGGCGGAGTGGACAGAGTTGTTGTATAACCCCTTAACGGAATACAGCTCTTCATCCCATGTTTCCTGATCCAGGATAATTAAAGCGCGAAGAAGTTGAAACACAGTTTGGTTGATCTCCTCAGCCAAACCCTTGGCTTCGGGGTGTTGGACAGATGTCATACACAGCTTGATCCCTAGTTGAGACGTGAAGTCCTTCCACTCAGTACTAATGAAGCGCGGATCCCGATCGCTCACCAGAGTCTTCGGGGTTCCGAACTGCAGAATGTACTTCTGTTGGAACTCACGAATTACTAGTTTTGTTGGGGCGTGAGGCGACAAAGGGATCAGGTTGAGGAACTTAGAGAATCGGTCAACAATCACCATGACGTGTGAGTAACCGCTCTTACTTACCTTTCCCATGTCGGTGAAGTCGATGGAGACGGACTCCCCGGGACCATCGAGAATGGGTAGGGGTGTGAGTAGCCCCATGGGCTTTTGTCTGGATGGTTTGATTCGTTGACAGACTTGACATTCAGCCACAAACTTTTCAGCAGTCCCTTTCATGCCAGGCCAATCAAACTGTATCAGCAAATTTGCGTATGTTTTTGCCATACCGAAGTGTCCCCTCCGTCCATGAGCCAAATCCAAAAAGTGTGTGCGGAGAGGCTCATGGTTGGGGACACACAAACAGTCATGATTCCCGTAGCAACGAAAAATCAGTCCTCCATACTCGTGAAAATCAGGCTGGCTGTTGGGGTCAGCCTGTAGCCGCTCAAGGATGGAACTCAGCTCCGGATCCTTGGCGGTGTGCTCTACGAGCTCCTCCTTCAGTATCTTCCGGAGGTCGTAGGATTTGACAAGGCAAGTCATGTACTTAGGGTGGCGAGACAATGCGTCAGCAACTCGATTATAATAGCGCTTTTCGTGTCTCAATTCAAAATAAAAAATGTCAATCTCATGGAACCAGCGAAGCAAGGTAGGGGACAGGGTAGTTTGCTGTTTGATCCCATGATCTGAGAAGACTTTGAACTGAAGTCCCAAAAGATAGTGTTTCCAGTGATCCAACGCCATGCGCAAAGCATAGAGCTCGCGCATGTAGGTGGAAGTGGCTACCTTTACGCTGGGCATGCGTTTTGCTGTAGTACTCGAGCGGCCGCAAGCCATCGCCGTCGTCTTGCTGCAGCACTGCGCCGATTCCGTACTGGCTCGCATCCGTAGTGACTACGAACGTCAGTTTGGGATCTGCAATGCGCAGTACTGGGTGACTTACCAAGGCTTCCTTCAAAGCTTGGAAGGCATTCGTGCACGCGGCGTCCCAAGAATAGGGAACATTTTTACTGGTCAACCGCGACAATGGATGAGCAACAATGGAGAAGCGGGGCACAAACTGCCGATAGTATGACGCGAGACCAAGAAAAGCACGCAGTTCGCGAATGTTCACGGCCCGAGGCCAGTTCCGTATGACCTCCACCTTGGTTGCTTCAGGCTCCAGGCCTGCAGCAGACAACCGGTGCCCAAGATAGATGGCACTATCCTTCCCAAACTCAAATTTCTCTAAGTTGAGATGGAGTTGCGTCTTCTTGAGGATGGCCATTACTTCCTCAAGGTGCTTGAGGTGTTCCTCCATGGACTTGCTGAAGATTAGTATGTCATCGCGGTAGACCACCACGAACCGGCCAATCTGTTCGCGGAGGACTTTGTCCATGAGGCTTTGGAAGGTGGCTGGTGCATTCGTGAGACCGAAGGGCATTACAATACATTACTAAAGCCCATCCCGTGTTTTGAACACAGTCTGGTGCTGGTCCGCAGGATCGACTTCAATCTAGTGATAGCCAAACTTAATATCGATCTTGGAGAAGACCTTGCACCCACCTGCAGCATCAAGCAAGTCATCTATACGAGGCGATGGATAGGCATTCTTTCTTGTTATGCGGTTTAGACCGCGATAGTCAATACACATGCGGAGTTTGCCCTCTTCCTTTTGAACAAACAACACAGGAGCACCAAATTCAGATTCGCTAGGCTTGATCCACCACTTGTCAATCATCTCATCAATATGTCGCTGGAGTTCCTCCAACTCACCGGGTCCCAATCAGTATACGCAGCCCTTCGGAGGAACAACACCTTCCAACCAACTTGATGGTGTGTCGGACCGGTCGCGTGGGGACTCCACGCGGCTCGGCCAAAACTTCCGAAAACCGATCGAGGAGGTTTTGGATGTCTGGTGGGACAGGTGGGGGTGGTGGATCAGCAAAGGGATCACCTAGATCCGGTCGCAGGTCGTGTATAGAGACGACCTCTGAAGTAGGATCATTTGGACTATTAGAGGGTAGGGAGATAGAGGTGCTAGAAGTAGAAGTACTAGAAGTAGGGCCACTGGTCGACGTAGTAGTGGTATTAACCGCAAAAGTAGATGTTACATGGGTAGGACGAACAAAGGCAACATACAACTGTTCTTCCTCCTTGTGCTTACGCCATTTCTTGCAGAGCTGCATAGCATTCAGAAAAGCCATTGGGGACTTGTGCTTCTCATCCGAGAGGACAGGAAGCTCGTTCCTTCGAGCATCTTTGATCATGAAAAGTGACTCCTTCCACTTGGTCCATTCGTATTGGGACTACAGCCAGCCCAAGCCAAGGACAGCGTCGAAGGCGCACTTGTCAAGAACACAGAAGTTCAATGCGTGTGTGACAGTTTTTTCCTTGTCGAAGGTAGTGTGCACACCTTTGACCGCATGTGTAAAAGAGACAACTTGTTGGTTGCCAACTTGGGTCCGGCAAGGGTTCTGCAAGGCCAATTGCTTCATCCCCAAGCCCACTTTGCGTATCCCATGAGGTGACATAAAGTTAGCCGTAGCACCACAGTCAGCCAAAACACGGAGATAGCGGTGGTTTATGAGAAGTTTGAAGAATATCAACTTCACTGTCCCTTGGGCACGCTGCTGTTTCATCTCAGCCTAATGCTCCAAGTGATAGTGAAGATCCACCGTCCCAGACTCCTCCCAAGGCTCGACATACAAAACATTACTCACCTCAACCTTGTGTTCAACAAATGTTTGGGCTTCAAGGGAGGACTGCTGATCTGCCTCAGATTCGATCTCCCCTGCTGTAGAGTTTGCTGAAATTGACTCTACGCCCGGTTCTGGTTTCCCAGCAGGCTATAACAATCTTGTMCCTTATGGTTTGGTTTTTGGCAATAAAGGCATMCCCCCTTCTTGAGTCTACCCGCCAATCATTTTCAATAATCCGAAGGTCGACCCAAGCTTTAGTAGTCGCATCGTCCGGTTTGGGTGGGATCTTGACCCCCTTGGGAAGTTGGACATAGTTCTTCCCTGCACCCCGATTCGGTCCGTTTGCATTGGCAGTCTTTTTAAAGGCAGTAAATTTGACTATGTCCTTCATCAAGGTGAACCAGTCAGTGTAACCAATGAAGTCCCTGCCCAGGCGATTAGTAAAGTTGGTGGGAACCGCGACTTTGACCACATCCAAGCAAGATTGTGCGGTCAGTTCCAATTCGGGAGTAGCAAACATCTTGCTAAGATAGGTCTGCAAGCTTTTCATGGAGTCCGTCCACTTGCTGCGCTTCATCTTGTCAAGCTGAATTCTTGCCCTTGCTGCAGCATGTGGATCCAGGTATTATGAAATGAGGAGTTTCTCGAGGAAATCAACCGGGGTGGCCTTAAGCCATCATGTTAGTTGAATTTTAGGAATCCCAGCTCGTATAGCTTGGACCTCTAAGAAGCCCCGCACGACCGGTTTGACATTCATTCCCATTATCACGGACTGGTTCTCAGGTTGAGTCCCCAAAATCTCGAAATATGCCCTCATGGAGCTGATCCAAGATTCGATGTCTTCTTTGCCGTCGTACTTAGATGGTATTCGAACCGCCTTACGATGTAGCTGGGACCAGCTCCTGCTGGTTCCAATCTTGGGGCTGCACCAGTTGCAGAATTTCCAGCCTCGCTGCTTGTCACAGCGACAACGGAATCTGCACCTGTTGCAGGTCCCGAGGGGTTTGCCAACACATTCAAGGAAGAAAATACAACAAGAGAGGCAAAGGTATTTCAATTGCAGCTTCAGATCCAACAGGAAGAGGAAGAGGGTTGCCCACTTGGGCTTGTCGCAGCTCAGCCACCTCCCTTGTCAATTCATGGTACTTGCGGGTCATATCAGTTCGATCATCTTGAAGTGTTTGCAACTTTGCGAAAACTTCACCGATCTCCTCAAGATTCCTGACTTGAACAAGGGCTGTGAGTATAGACTACAACTGTTCCCCACGCTGCTCTTCAGTCAGTGAGGGAACAACCTCTAGGATGGCCACTTGCCTTTTCAGCAATGTCTCCTTCCTCTCCTTCTCTGCCTCCTGATCCCTTTTGATTGCACTATTTAAGACTACTTGTAGATATGGTTTTTCGGCATCATTGGCTGCATCTAACAAGGTTTGCCATTGCACTGAAGTTAGCTGAGCCATTTCTGGACTGTCAGTATTGACAGGTGGGTCAGAGAATCGCCAGTCAGCAAAAGAATTAATTAGACTCTCAAGAGGTTCACTCCCCTTCTCACTTGGACAAACACTCCTTTTCCCAGTCCTTGCCCACTTCAAACGATCATTCTCCCTCTCTCCCTTTTCTCTCCCTCGTCTCTCTCTCTTCTTTCTGGTTGCGAGTCTCCACAGCCATCGGAAATGAACTCAGAGAAACTGACTGAAAGCTCAGAGAAGAGAAGGAAGAACTCTTAGCCGGAGCGGCATTTCATTTGGAAGTAGAGAGCAGCAAACTAAAGAAAAACAAACAACTTCAAACGAAAGGTCTGATCCAGTGACCCAGTCTGATCAGACTGCATACGAGGTCCTCTCGAGTCCAGTACGACCAGCTCCATGACCGTACAGCAAACCAGAGTGACTAAAAATGCAATAATGGAGAATTGAGTGGTGTACAGGGTGCGAGTCAAGCCACGGACAGTGCAATCCAAGAAGACATGCGAAACGTCTCAGCCAATATCCCCTCGGCAGTGGGTGTCCTAATCCAAGAAGAATGAACCCGTATCCCAGCCAAGAAGACAAGAGGTCAATGCCTAACCGATTTGGGTCCAAAGGCTCTTCTTGTTTGGGCAGGGTCCCGCTGGGTCCTAGGGGTCCCACGTAGGTCTCAACCAGGTCCCAACCAAGGGGAGTTCCACATGGACTTAGTTCAGTCTCTACTACACTGAAAAACGAAATTTCAACTTCTGGCAAAACCGAAAGACTACAACCGTTCAGAGATGAAAAGACAAAGCACTGTAGAAAAACTCGGTATTTAGGTCAAGATACTTCATTTTCCATCCATCAGGTTCATTTTCCATCCATCAGGTGAGTACGTAGATCACATGCATACAGTCACAAAATCAAGACCACAGAGGAGTAGGAAAAGAAACCCAGAGTACCCCAGCAGGACAATCAATACCATACACACATACATGGGCATCCCGTAGGTGCATGGCACTTACCTGAGTGGCCTTGAGCTTTGAGATGAATAGAACTCACCCCCCCTCTCATGTGGTCCTCCTGACCCCTCTAACGCTACCCCTACACTAGTGTCCTATCTCCTAGGAGGATCTGACTCCAACACCGAAGTGCAACGCCATCCGCACTGACAACACCATCGTCTCCTCCATCCTCTCCAGGAAAGATATTACTCCACGCCAAGCCCACTGGCTAAACTTTCTTGCCCAGTTCACATTCACCATTTGCCATACCCCCAGCAAAAGCAACCGCGTTGAGGATGCCCTCTCTCGACAACCCGACCACAAGCCGCCCGAGAAAGTCTACGCCGCCATGACTCATATTCAACTCCTTCCATCACTTCATCATCGATACACCCTATCTCTCCTGCTCAGACTTCGCCGCCATTTACAACAATCTCTGCGATCTTGACCCAGTTCCCGACTACTCCCTCCACAAGAATCTCCTCTACATCGATACCAAAGGCACTTGCCGACTTTGCATCCCCGACGCACGAGGCCTCCGTACTCAGCTCTTGGCCGAGCACCACAACGCCAAGACTGCAGGACATCTCGGTTTCCAGAAAACCTTCGACACCATCTCCCGCTACTTCTACTGGCCTTCCCTCCTCGCCGACGTCAAGGCATACATTCGCTCGTGCCCCATGTGTCAAGTTGTCAACCCCTCGAACTGGGCCAAACCCGACAAGCTCCAATCATTGCCCATCCCAACTCACCGGTGGCAGTCCATCTCCATGGACTTCGTGTGCGGCCTCCCCAAAACCGACCGCGGGCATGATTACATCTACGTCATTGTCTGCCGCTTGACCAAACGTGCCCACTTCGTCCCTTGCACGACCTCGCACAGTGCCAAGGACCTCGCCACACTCTTCTTCGACCATGTTTCTCACCATCACGGCCTCCCCGAGAACATCATCAGTGATCGTGATCCTCGCTTCCTCTCACAATTCTGGAAACACCTCTTCACGGCCTACGGAACCACGCTAAAGTATAGCACTGCATTCCACCCACAGACCGATGGACAAACAGAGAAGATGAACGATACACTCCAAAGAATCCTGCGAAAGTATTGTCATCCACACCAACACGATTGGGATCAGTTGCTCACAATTGCCGAGATTGCCTACAACAACGTTGTCTGCCCCTCCACTGGCATGTCCCCTTTCTACCTCGACCTTGGCTACCATCCCCGCTTGCCCTCTGATTTCTTGCTTCCCTCGCAGCTCAGCCCCTCCACTCCTTGCCCCTCTCTCAATGAATGGRTAGCRACAATGAAYAGACTCCTCARAGAAGCAACMGAAGCCCTTGAAAGAACACAARAACAACAAGCCAACAAGACTAACAAACACAGACGTGACGTGTCATTCAAAGTAGGGGACAAAGTCTGGCTTTCTGCCAAACGCTTTGAACCCGAACACGGCTTGTCCAAGAAACTCTCCAACAAATGGCTCGATCCCTTCCCCATCATTGAACAAACCTCCCCCGTCAACTACAAACTCCAACTTCCCCCTGACATGAGTCGTGTCCACCCAGTCTTCCATGTCGAGTACCTAAAAGAATACCATAAATCCCCGCTCCAGTTCGCCGACCGCCCATATCCTAGACCTCCACCAATCATGCTACCCACAAGCCCTGAATTCGTTGTCGAAACCATCATCGGTCGACGAACCACTCAAGTATCTGATCATCCAGAACCAATCACTAAATACAAAGTCAAATGGACCGGATACCCCGACGAAGAATCTACATGGGAACCTCTCTCTAATTTTAAGAACGCCATGAAACTTGTCCAAGCCTATGATCGTGCTATCCTACGTCCTAAATACCTATACAACTATGGCATAAACCCCCGCTAAACCCTTGCAACCCTGCTCTACACACACCCTTGAACCCAGTCCACCCTCCCCTTGACCCTCATTCCTGATGTCTGATCTGCCCTTGCCCTCRCCTAGCCTTGTCCCATCTGTCCTCTCCACTACCTTGTTTCTCTTGTCCAATGCTTGTGAACCTGCGTGACGCCGGTGATAAAGGATCTAATGGCAAGTGCACGAGGACGATGGCCTGCTGCCTCACTGTTCATGAAGATTATGCAGCTGGTTTGGCCACCATGTTGTTTCATCAGTCGACATCCCGACTCGCGGACTTACTGGAGCAGCAACTTGTGACATGGATCTTTGCATCAGTCTGCGACTTCCTTGCTTCCAGATCAGACCTCATTGCAGTTCGTGTACCGGACGCACCCTAGCACTTGGACTTTGACACTTGAACTACTACTACGCTTCTTGGACTTCTACCTATCGCAGCTGCTGAAGACCGCTTCTACCACCTACTCCAAAGACCTGATCAAGACCGCTGCAGACCCCCTTTCAAGACACTTGGACGCTTTGTTCCTACATGAGATTCTGCTTCCGACACACCAGCCTTTGCATCCTGAACAAACATTTTTATTTTTATTTTTCTGATTCATTTTTATTTTTCTGACTTTGACAACCCTGTAGAACATCATTAGCAGATCCCTGTTCCCCTTACCATAGTTTCCCTTACCCAGTCGAACTTCGATTGGAGTCCTCTGTTACCTGAACTTTGTTCCCCCTTAACCTATAGCAAGCCATGCAGTCCCCTTAGTTCATCAATAGGACTACCCTGCTCCCTGCCGTCCCTATAGTTCATTTGTAGGACTACCCTGTTCCCTGCAACCCCACTAGTTCATCAGTAGGACAACTCTGTTCACCGGTACCAAACCCTGTTCCCTCTTACTCACACAGCCCATGCCACCCACATTATACCCCTCTTCCCTTTCGACTTGTTAACCAGTGATCGGCCCCGTCCCGTCCTTCACAGATTTCAACTTGTTCCCTCTTACTCACAGATTTCAACATTGCTTCATGATTTTTGCCTTCTAGAGGGAGGGGATAGTGTTACGGACTCCGCCAGGGCTCGATCCCTGGTCTATCTTTTTGATGTTTCGGCTGCATTCCGTTTTCGGCCTGGCACCATTTTTCCAAACCCCTCCTTTGGTACCGTAGGATTTTGGACAACTGGCGCCATGCTGCAATTCGGGCGCCACTTTCAAATACCGCATTTTTCAGTTCTGCCCTCCGGGTCTTTGCAGAAATGCCCCTGGTACCGTACGTGTCACCGGTACTTATACCGGCTCCCCGTACCATACGGGGACCAGTCTGGTACCAGTTTTCTGCTGCTGTACTCGTACTCAGTGTGACTTGCTGTTTCGACATTCGGAATCCAAGACTTTGACTTGTGTCTTGCCACTGTGTCTGCGTCCGACCCTTGGTCGTGTCGAGTGAGTGTGTGTGTGTGTGCTCTCACTCTCTCCCTCCCTCTCTCCTCTCCCTCGGCTCTCCCTTAGCCCGACGCCCGTCACAAGATGGCTCCGTGCATGGCATACATTCTGCATATTGACCCTGCAACCTCTTTGACACTATTATTATGACCCATCAATGACTGCAGCCCTCAAATGGCTGCTCTCTGCATTTCCTATTTACTACTCTTCGGTCTCATGTCTCTGGTCATGCTCTTGTAGAGTCTGGTTCCTGGTCTTCTTATCCTTCAAGTGTCATTTGTTATGTGATGCATGATATGTCATGTTATTTCCTCTTCTTACTGCATAGGTTACACTCAAGGCTATATCGACTCCTGGATAATAGAGACTCCGGTGACCTTCAGTCTGACCTTCATACGGGGTCAGGTGCAGGCGACAAACCCAAACACCTCACTCTAAGCCGCCTCACCGCTGGCAGGAGGGATAACCCTGACTACTCGACTGTATGACTAAGAATGACAAAGGCTGTTTCTGAATGCACTTTTTATTTTATATGATTTTTATGCTTACCATATTCCTGTGTGACAGCCTGCCAGTCCACCAACCCACTGGACTCGGCTTGGGTAGGGACACCCAACCAAGCCCTGGAAGCGATGGGAGCGCGACAACGAGCTCGTCTAGATCCGCACACGTCCGCACAAATCATGAGCAGGCACATTTTGGATCAGCGCGTGACCACGCACGTGAGAACTTTGTCACCTAGTCGAGCCATTAAGAATACGCACGCTAGTGCGCACGAAGAGAGAGAGAGACACACACACACACACACACACACAGAGAGAGAGAGAGAGAGAGAGAGAGAGAGAGAGAGAGAGAGAGAGAGAGAGAGAGAGA